TTCTGGGAGTTGAAGTCCACTCATCTTAAAGTGGCCAAGTTTGGACAACACTGCTCTAAACCAATGTTTTTCAACCTTGGTAACTTTAAAATGTGTGGACTTCAGCTCCCAGAATTTCCCACAGGAATTCTGGGAGTTGGTCCACACATCTTAAAGTTGCCAAGGCTGAAAAACACTGCTCTAAACTTTCAGCTCTAAATACTGGGGGTAAAACTGCTCAATGGCTACTTGATGACAGTGTGACTATCTCTGAAGGCCATCTACTAGGAGACTAGTGGGCTTCCTTGGTTGGCTACCGTGAAACAGACTGCTGAACTGGATGGGCCAGGGGTCCAATCCAGCAAGGCACAGCTTATGTTCTTATATTTATATGTTCTTATGTGCTAAGCTTTGATCCATTTTAATCTCACCTATGTCATCCTGTAGCCCAAGCAAAGATTCCCTTGCCCTTACAATCAGTAGCAATGATCAACAGATCCACAACTCCACAAGCAAGTTGCAGCTCCTGGCTTGATTTGGAACTTGCCACATTCACTGGGCATTTATCATGGTTTGTTTTGCCTCTGCATTGTTCATGGATCAGACAGGGTGTCTGAGGACCCCCATTTTCCTCTTCTGGGATCCCATCAGCTTGTTGCAGCAGAAGTGGGATAATAAAGTCAGAGAGAAACAAGGAGTTGGAGGCATTTTATTCAACCAAGTCAACCGTGCTTGCCCAAAAGTATTTGGTAATTGACATCCAGTTTGGTTCCACCCATTAAAAAGGAGCAAAAGTGCAGAAAAGGCTGTGTGTGAACTCTGATGGGGAAATCAAGGAGACGGGTCTGTGGCCAAAGAACAGCTGGCGGAGCGGGAGGAAAACAATGACAACCATCTCAATCTGCAAGGAAGAAAGTGGTAACATCAGAAACATTGAAATCAGAGCTTAGCAATAAATAGAAAGAGGTACTGATTAACTGGGAAAATGCAACTGATAGTGTTCGATGGTTTCCAAGCTTTTTTTCTTTTAGGGGAAGGGTGTGCATTGTTGTTTGGACCAAGGGGTGAGTTGGTTTTTAAGTGGCATGTCCCCAAAAATGTCCCCAAAAATAGGCCAGGCCAGGCACCAGAATGAAAGAATAGGACAAACAAGGAAAAGGAATATTACTTGATTAAATTAAAATTAAATGAACGAAATACAGTTATCCTTATTACTTGTCGTGTATGTAATCATTCTGAGAGGTCAGTTATACAAATCAGCTAAATAAGTAAATAAATAATCATTCCCCCCCCCACTTAGGTTACATTAAAAATTACAATTCAGCATCCATTTTTGTTCTCAGTCCCCTTCCCTGGCCAGCACATTATCTCACCTCTTTTCTTCCTGCGTGGCTTCTCTTCTGACGATGTTGACTTCTCTTCTGATGACCCAACTGCAAATAAATAAATAAATAAATGAAATCCATCCTGATTCATGAGCAGGGGAAAGGTATTAGGATCAATCCAGAACCTAAGGCAGGTAAAGTCACTTGGTGATTCTTGAACATCAGGGTTGGGCAACAGATCAATGTGCCACAGATCAATGGGGATGCCCACACAGCCGCTGTTGACAAATCACATCTTTCTTAGATTTATGTGCTCATGTAAAAAACCACACAGGTAAAAAGGGAGGAGCTTGGATTGTGCAGCCAGAGGTTGCCATTTTGACTTTTTTGACCCTGCTTCTGCTCCCATGAAGAGGCTCCTTCTCTGCTTGCAACCGCTTGATACTCACCCCGGACTGGAGGCTTGTATCCCTGGCAGCCAATCCTGGGTCTCTTCTGGTTGTACTTCTCGCACAGCTGGGGACTTCCAGCCTGGTTACAGCACCAGTCGTAGAATTTCAGCTCTTCGTCTGGACACATCAGTCACAAGGGGAAATGAGAAGAAGCCATGAAAACTTGGTTTCCTTTTATTGATCGATGCACTGCGCTATCCCAGAAAATGGGTTGAGGCAGTAACCAGGTTGAGACTGTGGCATACACTGGTTCGCCCACGATGTGGAACTTTGGTTTGTTTTAACCGTGGTTGGCTGAGCAAATCATAAAGGCCTGGTTCCTTCAACACGCGAAGCCAGAAACATAGTTTACCAAACAGGGTTCATACATTGTTCTAAGCCACGCTGTCCTTTGCTTCTGGCTGAAAGCAGGGCGGCCAGTCTGTTCCAGGAACAGAGGCAACGTCTACACCGTTTAGTGATGCTTCTGATAGTCCCTTTTGACCATCATTGCTACTAACTCATGACATGGTTTTCTGCCCTTTTGTGGCTGAAACACCCAAAGGATGGGTTCACACAACAGGCGTGTCCAGGTCAGTTAAGCTGAGCAGCTTCATTTGCAAAACACACTATGCCCACTTTATGTTAATGTTGGTTAGTCTTGAGTAGGGTAGAAAGTTGTGCAGACTCAGCCCATTGGGTTGGTTGAGGGTTCAAAGTATGGTGTGAATCCTTAGAACAGTGTTTCCCAACCATGGCAATTTCCAGGCGTGTGGATTTTAAATCCCAGAATCCCACAACCAGCATGGCCATTGAGGAGAATTCTGGGAGTTGAAGTCCACACGCTTGGAAGTCACCAAGGCTGGGAACACTGCCTTAGAAGGATCTATTCAGGACTCAAGTTACGGGGGTTGTATGAACGCAACCATTTGTCCCTTTCCACCTCTTCTGTAAACCATGCTTCCTTCTCCCCTCATTGTTTTAATTCCTCTCCAGGATGAGGGTCTGACAAGCATCAGAGGCCCAAGTGGAACCCAGCTGTGGAAAACTTCCATCCCTCATCCTCTCAGCTGCTTACCATTGCTGGGAGAGTTTTTCCTTGAACCCTTCCAGATTCTCTCCTGCCGACCTTCTTCAAGCTGGTTATTTTTGTTGTAGAGACACCGGACGCCCGCCCCATACTTGTTTGGGCTGGAGGAATACAGCATAGTTAAGCCCGAGTCCAGCCAACCTGCAAACATGAAAGGTGTTAATTTCATGTTGTCAACTCTCAACATGAATGGCGATGGGGAGGACGCGGTTCCACAGAGACACTGGTATAAACTTGCCACCTCCTCTTAGATGGCCGTTCCTCACTGCAACAATACGAAATGGGTGGATTGCATGACCGTGCAGCTGAAACCCTCCTCCTTGTTTACATGCGGCGCACACACAGTGCACATGGAAAAGGAGACTGAGCTTTAATTGCACAGCCATGGCCACCATCTTGACTTGTTTGACCATTCTTCCACGGATACCCCTGCTATAGTACATCCTCTACCGCCAGCGTTCCTCAACCTTGGCAGCTTGAAGATGTGTGGACATCTTCAAGCTGCCAAGGTTGAACACTGCTCTACTGCATGAATTGCGGTCTTTAAAAGCAGCAAAGGGGCCATCTAATCTAAACAGTCTAAGATCAAGCCGCTCGCTTTGTGGCAAAATGCTTAAGATCTTGACGGACCTCCAGCAAGGGTAACCAAAATCAGGACAAGGCAAAGAGAAATAAATAGCGATGGCGTTCAGACAGATTGGACTAGCTGGCTAAAATGAAATGGTTGTTTTCATTCATCCAAAGGATGTAAACTGGCTTAAATCCAGTAGTCTGAGCTTTACATTTTCTTGGGGGGGTCCAGCGGTCATGCTGGGGACAGTCCCATCCACGCAAAGCACCTTTTTTGCTCTGTGTGTAGCGGATGTCCGACATTCCCTGTTGCAGAGAGCAAGGACAAGGGGACAAGTTCCTGTTCCAGGCTGATGGGGACCCCTCGTGACTAATCCAGTCGAGACACCTCTGCCTGTAATTCACGCGGATGCTGCTGTCCAGTTTGTATATCCACAGACCACGCACATCTGGAAGGAAATGCAGAAGACCGTAAACATGAGCTCAGCCTGGACAAAACTCAGGGAATTGAGTTTACTTTATTCAGATTTATCTTGGTTAGTTTCATGTTGCCTTCCCCAGTTGGGTACCTTTCCAATGCATTGGGACTGCTGGATCCACCATCCCCAGCCATTGTCCATGCTGACTTGAAGTTATGGGACAGATAGTCCCGAAATAGGAATCTAACAAGTAAATGAATAAGTAGATGCAATATCTGGAGGGTGTCAAGTTGGAGAAGGCGGTTCTAACTTCTCCAAGGTCCTCCTCTTTGCTGCTATGATTCTGACTGAAAGGCTAAAATCCCCTTTTTCAATCAAATGGGAATTATGAAATCATCACTTCAGCCCTCCGGCTCCTTGCCCTTCTCTGCTCTGTCCTGGTCAGATCCCATTTGGTGTCCCGTGTCCAGTTCTGGGCACCAGAGATGAAGCAGAGTGACAAGTTGGAGTGACTCAGAGGAAGGCTATTAAAATGGGAAGGGGCCTGGAAACCAAGCCCTTTGAGGAACAGTTAAAAGATCTAGAAATGTTTGGCCTATAGAAGAGAAGACCAGATAGCTGAAGGGGCCTCACCCAGAAGGAGTGGACCCATTTACTGTTGCCCCAGAGGGCAGGGCCAGAACCAAGACACTAAACTATGAGAAAGGAGGTTCAGACTAGACACCAGGAAGAACTTCCTGACTGTACCAGCTGTCAGTCAGTGAAACAGCCTGCCACATGAAGTTATGAGTGCTCCTTTGCTAGGAGGCCTCAAACAGAATCAGGACAGTAACCTGTTAGGGACGGGGTGTTTCTCAACCTTGCCAGCTTTCAGATGTGTGTGCTTCAACTCCCAGAATCCCCCAGCCAGCCAAAACTGCACAGGAACCTCGGAACACCTTCATGTAATCAACCTTTCAGGGGCATTTATTGGGAGGGACTATCAAAATCTGCAAGACGGTGGGTGTGATCGCGACACCCACCGTCTTGCAGATTTTAACCCCCTTGTGGACGCCTCTGCAATCTTTCCTCTGTCCCTACGTTTCTGATTCTAAATTTCAAATGCACTTAAGAGGGACCTGGGCTGTTCTGACTAGTGCGAACCCTAGGACGGTGGTGGCACTAACAACAGCAGCAATGAAAATCACTAGGATGGCAGACAGGCAAGTTGCAAGTCTACAGAGCTCACGGAGACCCAGCCGGAGCTTGATTTTTCCAGCCAGGGGTGGGGCATGGACAGCTTCACCCTACCTACATTTAGATCCCTGCCTAAGCCCGCCTTCCTTTCCCTTCCTCCCCTAATTCCAAAGCGAATCCATTGGGTGCATTCCAAATGCCACTGCACTTGGTCTCCTCTTCCTAACTATGTTAGTTCCTTGCTGTGGCAGGATCCCAGGAAAGGGGGATGGGGGGTGGTGACCTTTAATGGCTTTTGGACATGTGGCTCCTGCTGGAAGAGCAGGTGGCAGCTGTGGCCAGGGAGCCCTTTGCACAAATCCATCTTGTGTGCCAGGAAGGGGCCTTCCTGGACCGAGAGGCCTCGCTCACAGTCACTCACGCCTTAGTCACCTCCTGTCTGGATTACTGCAATGTGCTTTACATGGGGCTGCCTTTGAAGACCATCTGGAAGCTGCAAGTGGTTCAGAATGCAGTGGCAGAAGCAATTTTGGGTGCCCTGTGGTTCACCCGAGGAACACCACTGCTGTGTGAACTGCCTGGCTCCCAGTTGCTTTCCAGGTGCAGTTCAAGGTGTTGGTTATCACCTTTAAAGTCCTACACAGCACAGGGCCAGGTTACCTGCAGGACGCCCTCTCCCTGAGGGTATCTGCCCATTCTGCTAGGTCAGAAAGGGCGTGCATGCTCCAGGCCCCTCCTTTAAGGATGCCATCTGATGGGACCTCAAGGCCCGGCTTCTTGGCGGCCATCCCAGTTCTTTGGAACAGCCTCCCACCTGAGTGCCAAGTGATTCCTGCCCTTTTAGCCTTCGAAGGGCCATGAAGACCTGGCTCTTCCCCCAAGCATTGGGCTGGGACGGAGGTTGAGCTGAGCGGCTGTTTAGCTGGTGCCTAGGGGGGAAGGGCGCTTTTGGTTTTAGCCATGTTTTTATGGATTGTTGTAAACCACCTAGAGTCCTTATATATGCATTATTTACAGCCATGTAAATCCTGTAAAGAAATAAATAAAAGGCAAGCTAGGATGGGAAGCCTCATTATTTCTCAAGTAGCAACTGTGGCTTTTGAACAGAAATTCCCCAGCCACAGAAACAGTGGAGATATCTTGCCATGGTTATCATTTGATTCATCAGGAGGCTTCTCCAGGACCGGGAATGCACCTTGGACTGGTAAACCTGTTAACCTTGATTGCTAAACCACAACGCAAAGATTCTGTTGGCCTCTGGAGCTACTCCATTGCCTCTGAGAGGAATAGAGGGGGAGCAGTATCTTTTTCTCTCCCCACACCCCTGCCCTCCCGGACCTTCTGAGTCTCCATCAGGCCTGCCATGGGAGGCAACAAGAAATTTGCACCCAGACAAGATTTTGGCAAGGCGATTTGGCCAGTACTTTCCTGCAAAGCGTTGACCATACCTGTATTGCAGCCTTGGAAGTGATCTGGCCGGTATTTCTCAGCTGGTGTTTTAGTCATCAAATCATCATTTCTGAAATATCCATCGCCGCTGAATAGAGAAGAGGAAAAGAAGAGAAATTGATTCTCATTTTTCTAAGACTGAATCACATCCACCCCACTACAGGCAGAAGATCTTTTAGAAGTCCACCCAGGTTGCTCAGTTTAAGAGCACTCACAGGCATTGCCAAGCATGCTTAAAAAACCTGGGGATTTGTTTGCACCCTTAAACCCACCCTGCCTTTTTGGTGATTCGAAGGGACCCGTCCACTGACCTGTCTGAGCAGTCGGAATCCCTGAATGATAGACCTAGGCAGGATTGAATCATGTGCTCTTCTCTTCCTGTCATCTCCCTGATTAAAGACATTAGCATTACCTGGTGTATCCTATAAGCACGTTGGGGGCTGAGAGTTTAGTGTGGTCCCACTGCATGCCTCCATCTTGGTAAAGGAAGAGCGCATATGTTCGGTATCCGTCAGTGGTAAGAATAGCTTGATAGGTGTTCGTCTGGAAGGAGACGTATCAACAGCATGGATGAGACCACGGTTTCTTCCATATCCAGCTGCCCCTTTAGGGCTCTGATAACTTCTTTGTAATGGGATAATTTTAATTTCATCTCACACACACACACACACACACACACAAAGACACAGGAAAGATTGTGTAAATTAAGCAATTATAAGTCAATGGTTGCCTCCGCTGAGATTTCTGCTTCAAGCATGTGGAATAATTTTTAAAAAGTCGCAGCAGGGTTAGATCGGTATGTAAAGAACAAATGTTTATCCTTTTTCTTATTAAAAATATATTTAAGAAATCAGCCACTGCTTTAGGTAGCAGTTGGACCTGTTGGTGAGGTGATAGTGAAACCTTATGAAAAGGGGCTTTCAGTTTCTCTCATCTTTTTCCTTACATTTGGGGAGTCAAGGGATGGCAAGGAAACTAATGTTCATGGACCTCCACACATTCCTCTTATTTCTGTTATTGTTGAAAGACATTGGGCGGACATCCTGTCTCCTTAAGTGTCAAGGCCATAAAGACATGGGAGGAACTGACCTCAATTGATAGCCTCCAGAACACCCTGCAGCTGCTCTGGAGATGCCTCTGCACTCCAGGAAACAATAAATATCAGAATACCAAAGGGGGTGCCCCAAACTTTGACTGGCAACCAATGGGTCATTGGGGAGATAAGTTTCCCCCAATAATAAGGAGGATCCCAAATTTATGCCAATTGTAGCCAATCAGTTTGTTAATTGCTGTATCTCTGTGTAAGAAACGTGTATAAAATCTTCTT